TGCAAACACCTAGAAGATAATAAGGTGATAAGTAACAGTCAGCATGGATTTGTCAAGAACAAATCGTGTCAAACCAACCTAATAGCTTTCTTTGACAGGGTGACAAGCCTTGTGGATAGGAGGGAAGCAGTAGATGTGGCATATCTTGACTTTAGTAAGGCTTTTGATACTGTCTTGCATGACCTTCTCATAAACAGAGAAGAGAAATACAGCCTAGATGAAGCTACTATAAGGAGGGTGCATAACTGGTTGGAAAACCGTTTCCAGAGAGTAGTATGGGTTGCAAGTGCTTTGGTGGATAGGATTATAATTCAAAATGATCTGGACAAATTGGAGAAATGGTCTGAAGTAAATAGGGACAATTCAATAAGGACAAATGCAAAGTACTCCACTTAGGAAGGACAATCAGTTGCACGCATACAAAATAAGAAATGACTGCGTAGGAAGGAGTACTGCAGAAAGGAATCTGGGGGCCATAGTGGATCACAAGCAAAATGTGAATCAACATTGTAACACTGTTACATCCCAAAATGATGTTTGCTTTTTTTTTGTATTAGGGGTATTGTAAGCAAGACAGGCTCTACTCTGTGCTGATTAGGCCTCAACTGGAGTATGGTGTCCAGTTCTGGGTGCCACATTTCAGGAAAGATGTGGAGAAATTGGAGAAAGTCCAGAGAAGAGCATCAAAAATTATTAAAGGTCTAGAAAACAAGACCTATGAGGGAAAATTGAAAAAATAGAGTTTGTTGTTCTGTAGAAGAGAAGACTGAGGGGGGATATAACAGTTTTCAAGTACGTAAAAAGTTGTTACAGGGAGGAGGGAGAAAACTTGTTCTTAACCTCGGAGGATAGGATAAGAAGCAATGGGCTTAAATTGCAGCAAGCATGGTTTAGGTTGGACATTAAGAAAAGCTTCCTAACTGTCAGGGTAATTAAGCACTGGAATAAATTGCCTAGGGAGGTTGTGGAATCTCCATCATTGGATATTTTTAATAGCAGGTTAGACAAACACCTGTCAGGGATGGTCTAGATAATACTTAGTTCTGCCATGAGTGCAGGGGATTGGACTAGATGACCTCTCGAGGTTCCTTCTAGTCCTACAATTCTTTGATTCTACAAGCCTAAAGAATTGCATTATGTAGGTATATACCTTTAAAAGCTGTGTTAATTTTTTTTTTAAGCAGTAGAATTATTTGGAATGCATCCAAAGCCACCCAGCTGCCAGCAGGCTTAAAATAGAAAACATTTTAACAATGAACTCCTTTTCTTAGTCCTCTCCTTTTATTAAAAAAAAAAATATTTTAAGAAAGAGAACATGTCTTCCCACTCAACATGAATGTCCTGTTAACAGAGGCAAGCACATAAATGTTCAATGTAGTTGGCTGACTGTTTTTCTTTGTTGCTATAACAAAGCTGAAGACTATTTTGGTTAGTGTAAAGTGTCTAAATGTATGTCTACACTGCAGTTAGACACCTGTGGCTGGCCCATGCTAGCTGACTCGGGTTCACGGGGCTCGGGCTAAGATGATGTTGAATTGTGGTGTAGACGTTCAGGCTCAGGCTGCAGTCTGAGTTCTGGGACCCTCCCATCTCGCAGGATTCTAGAGCCTGGGCACCAGCCCAAGCCCAAACGTCTACACCGCAGTTAAACAGCTCCTTAGCCCGAGCCCCATGAGCCCAACTCAGCTGCCACAGGCCAGCTGCAGGTGTCTAATTGCAGTGTAGACATACCCTAATTGACCTGGTACTGCTAATGTGTGTGTTTGTATCTCTCCCAGTTGTACTTGTCAGATACTGTTTCAACACACCTCCTGTATCTGGACCTCTATCAATCAGAAACTTTATCTGAATTAGAAAACTTGTTCTTGTACAAATAGAAGATCCAAGTTAGATGTTCAGTTTGTATATTTTCCCCTTATTTTAATGTCCCTTTGATTGTTTATATCTTGCAGATAATGCACTCTGTCAACTAATGACTTCTTGATTTGTCAGGTGGTTGTCACAACAGAGGATTTCTGTATACAGATTAGTGCTATTACTCCAGAGAGCTTCTAGAATCATTGTAGAAAACTAATCACTTAATAGTATAACCTACTGCATTTTATGATGTTTTTGTGACACTTTTTGTTTGGTAATAATAGTGGTATTTTATATTAAATGTCAGTGTATTTGTTATTTGCTAAAATCTGATCCAGCTTTATTCCTTTTGCCTTCTGAGTCCAACTGATAAAAGGTCTATTAACTTAAATTGTTAGGTAGATTTCTTAGTATTTAATTTGAAAAATAAAGCAGTTTAGGAAAGATTTAAATTTTAACTTAAAATTAATGAATGTGTCCTGCTGATAGTTCAGCAGCCTTTTTAAAAAAAAAAAAAAAATTGTTCACTTTACTTTTAACCCTTTTTATCTCCCTCCAGAAGAAGGAAATTTTTTTAAACCAATCAAAAAGCCACTCCACTGGTTTTGAGTTTACAATAAAAACTCTTTTCTCCCAAATCCTCTTCACTCCCTCTAATCTGTCACTATTGACAAAAAAGCACCATCTTCCTTTTCACCGAAGCCTATAACCTAGAAGTCACCTGTGCTTCCTCCCTCTCTCTTGCCCCACACATCCAGGCTGTGTACACATTTTCTTCCTGCATTTAAGATTGTCCACTTCTTTCTTTTCTGTACAGACAAACAAAGCTCTCATCCAGGCCATTTTTTGCTCTCCTGATTATGGTAACCTCCTTCATGACACCCACATCTCCCCTCCAAATAAATCAAAACACAGCTACTAAGATAACTTTCCCTTGTTCATCACTGTAACCATGTCAGCCCCCTTGGAATCCCTTTATTGGTTCCCGCACTTTCCCTTAATCAAGCTCAAACTACTTGTCTTCAGCTTCATGTCTCTTCACAATTCCTACCCCTTACTACTTGTCCAGCTTTCTCTTACTGCATTTCAGCCACCCCCTTGACTCTTTCAGTCTACCAACAATGCCTTGACTGCTGCCCATCTGTCAGTGTTTGTAAAACAAATGTGTAGGCGTGTTCTTCCATACTATACTTTATGCATAGTCTTATGGAGCTCAGGAGTGTAGTTCTATCTCATTCAAATTCTTCCTGTAGACCCAATTATACTTTAGTATGTGTAAGAAATTTAGCCAGTTAATGATGGTGTCTGGTGAGATAAGAGGGACAGCTAACGCATAGTTTTACCTGCTCTTTGTTCCTCTATTCTCACCGTTCATATATTGTCTTAAATTTTACTCAGGGTAGGGAACATGTCTTTGTATGATTTCATACAGTACCTAGCACAATGGAATCCCTATCCTGGTTGGGGCTTATGGGTACTTCTGCAGTACAGTTATTAAACAATGGTGTGTGTGTATATATATATATATATATAAATATAAAAAATTAGGTTACCGAGACTTGACTTATTTCCTTCTGAAAGGTTTCAGAGTAGCAGCCGTGTTAGTCTGTATCCGTAAAAAGAACAGGAGTACTTGTGGCACCTTAGAGACTAACAAATTTATTAGAGCATAAGCTTTCATGGGCTACAACCCACTTCTTCAGAAGTTAGTCTCTAAGGCCTGGTCCACACTACCCCCCCACTTCGGACTAAGGTACGCAAATTCAGCTACGTTAATAACGTAGCTGAATTCGAAGTACCTTAGTCCGAACTTACCGCGGGTCCAGACGCGGCAGGAAGGCTCCCCCGTCGATGCCACGTACTCCTCTCGGCGAGCTGGAGTACCGGCTTCGACGGCGAGCACTTCCGGGATCGATCCGGGACGATAAACCAGACGCGATAAATCGATCCCAGAATATCGATTGCCTGCCGCTGGACCCTCCGGTAAGTGTAGACGTACCCTAAGGTGCCACAGGTACTCCTGTTCTTCCTTCTGAAAGTACTCCATCTAGTGGCAAAACTACAGTAATGTGTCATGGAAGTGGGTTTATATAGGAATTAGTGGAGTGGTAGGATTTATATTCCAGGAGCTCATCAAAAAAAATTGTAAATTTGTGAAGGAGAGGGAAACTTTTATGCCTTAAGTATGATAAAACACAAAATCAGAAATACAGTTTTGCAGAAATAATTCTGCTTCGTCTGCTATTTATAGCAAAATATAGTTGATCTCTCAAACTGTTTAAACTTTTTCAGGTTTTAATTTTATTCCTTTTAAAATCCACTATTTTTCCAAACACATACTTGGTCTTATTTGTCACAAGTTACGTCATTTAACACCTGTAATTCAGAACTGCTACTCCTTTTAGATATAGTTTTTAATGATACTAGAAGAAATAAAGGATTTTTTTTCATTTCCTTTTCATAGTGCATGTAAGTGTGTCTAGAAAATGTTAGATAAATAAATGAGTGGTGATGGTCTCTTTATTCTCCAGACAAGTATAACATGAATAGTGGTGGTGCTAGCTTCTGCACACTGCTGTGCTAATTCTAGGAGCAAGACCAGTTCTTGGAGTGAGAAGGCAGTACTGTCTCTGTACCCATTTAGTCCTTGGCCTCGCTCATCAAAGGTCCCAACTGCGGGTGCATCAGTACAAGAGGAATTGAATACAGACTGCCAACTCACCTAATGTAGGCCACCAAACATCCATCAAATGGTGCTAGCATTTGACTGCTAACATCCCGAACAAACTGAAATGGTGACCAGTAGCTGACTGGCTCCATATTCTATTTTTAGTTAGTTTAGCTGTGCAATTGCATAATAATTTTTAAACTTTGTTATACCCTTTGATTTTCAAATCCTGACTTAAACTATATTTAGTGCAATATTTAACACTGAATGAATGTAAATCTCTTTTTATACTATAGATTCACTTTTGGCCATTTGTATATCTGCTATGTCTTGTGTATAAGTAAGATCAAAGTGATATTTGCTATATGGTAAATGACTCCAAATACTAACATTTTTTCTTATAAACTCTCCATTAAGTGTATGAAAGCATTGTAAAACACATACTGTCTAAGAATTTCATTTTTTTTCTCCATAGATCAACGTAAGAGTTACCACAATGGATGCAGAGTTGGAGTTTGCCATCCAACCCAATACAACTGGCAAACAGCTCTTTGACCAGGTAACCCTTTATTATATGTAATAATCATGGATAAAATGCTAGTCTTACAAAACATTATAGTGTTGTTATAGATTTCTGTTCATGCTTTCCAATTAATATCTTATACTGATCTAAGCCATACTAATAATCAGCTTGAGCCACCTCTCCTCAATTCAGAAGCAAAGTATTAAGCACAAGGACAACTTTCCAAGAATGGATAAGCAGCCAGGCTTCAGTTGTCAAACTATCTTGAAATTAATACACCGCTACCTCGATATAACGCGACCCGATATAACACGAATTCGGATATAACACGGTAAAGCAGTGCTCCGGGGGGGCGGGGCTGCACACTCCGGTGGATCAAAGCAAGTTCAATATAACGCAGTTTCACCTATAACGCGGTAAGATTTTTTTGGCTCCCGAGGACAGTGTTATATCGAGGTAGAGGTGTACTATGTTTTATAGATATTCTCAATCATATACTCAAAGAACACAGGAATTACTAAGTGTATTCATTGTATGTTTATATAACTTTAAATACCCTTTAATAATAAATCTAAGGCAGAAAATGTAACATTAAAAAAATAAGTAGACTACCTTCCTTTCTGTCCAAGTAAGGAAGCAGCAGTATGACAAGATTCTTTTGAGGAATGGAATCTCATTAGCCACTTTTAAATAAGCGATTGCATGCTTTCTTTTCTTTTCTTTTCCCTCTTCCGACAACCAAGTCAGCTCAAAAAGTGGTATGTCTTCATCCGCGAAGCAGCAAGTAGGTTAAAGACTGTTATTTATGGTAGATGTATAAGCAAGCACCTTCCTTTCCCTCCTAATCTAGTGTCTTTTTCTTTATTTATGTTTTTGCCTACTTGTACTGGAATTTGTGGAGTAATACTTCAGCCTTCATGCTCTCTTTTTCTTCCAGCTCATGAATAGAGAATCAGGGAAAAAACGACTTCTAGAAGAAAGAAAAATGGAATTAAAAAGTGATTTAAAACTAAAAATAGTTCACAATTGTTGCAAGGCAGAAAAGTTTTGGGGACAGGGCAGCCATCTGGCCTCCTACCCAAGATGTATGGGTGAGTTGCCAACAAGAACTCGACAAGTAAAAATTGTGCCATCTTCTGGATATGCGAAGGCAGCTGCGACTTCTCTTCTGCCAACCTCTGCTACCTCTTGACATGCGGTATTGGGTGGAGGTGATCTGCTGCTGCATAAAGTCTTGTGCCCAGATGAGCAGTTTCACCCATTCTGTAGCTTCTCTGAACAAGGGATAAAAGATATAGATGCAAATTCTCTCAACACCTACTAGATTCTCTCCATCGAGCTGCCTCAGTTCCTTTTCATGGCTTTCAGGCGGCCTCAGCAGTTCTTACGTTTAGCCTGTAGCTGTTTAAATTGAGAAATTGTTAGCTTGAGTCCCTTGGTTCATGTGCCATGCCTGTATGTGAGAGGAGAAATCATTCAGACATATCCTAAACCCACACATGGCTTCATAGACCCAAATCAAATCACTGAATTGCGGTGTGAAACAAATATGAAGTTTTCAGAGAAAAGGTGTAATATTTCTCTGTGGTTATTACTGCCAACAAAGTGAAGTGACGCATTCTAAACTAAGGGCTTGTCTATACTTATGCGCTGGTTCGGCGGCAGGCAATCGAACTTCTGGGTTCAATTTATCGCATCTTGTCTGGACGCGATAAATCGAACCCAGAAGTGCTCGCCGTCGACTCCGGTAATCCTGCTCGGCGCGAGGAGTACACGGAGTCGACGGGGGAGCCTGCCTGCCGCGTCTGGACCGTGGTAAGTTCAAACTAAGGTACGTCGACTTCAGCTACGTTATTCACGTAGCTGAAGTTGCGTACCTTAGTTCGAATTGGGGGGGTTAGTGTAGACCAGGCCTAACAGTAGCTTGATTAGTCATCATGGTTCGCTCCATGTGGTGTACATTGCAGTAAACTTCTGTCCTTTGTAGTTATTGCTCAAAGCAAGTTACCTTGTCACAGCATTATCTCTTGTCCCATGATCCTGAGGGTGTTTGGATGTCAGCAAACCCCTTTCTTAGTCAGTGGTGGGAAGATTTAATGTGGAAGGCTGTGTTTCCCACTTTAGTATGATCCTTTCTCCGAGCTGCTCTTTGTTTCCAGACTAGGGCATTTCCCTTCGCTCTCCCTATCTGCTGGTAAATGGGAAGTCTAAGAACTCAGCATCTATGGCTTTCTCCTTCTTCCCTGCTGTCATGAAGCTCAATGAAGTCCTCCCTTATCCCACCAACATGATGGTGTAGGCCACTTGGAGATTCTGTTTTAGCAGGCATCTCTCCATCATCACAAAGTTTTTCTGTCTCCTCATCCATTTGGAGGCCAGAGTGGAGGTGAAAGGCTAATTTTGTGGGCCTTAACTAACCTGCCTTTTCCCTACTTCTTCTTTCATAGGAGACAAAGAACATCATGAAGTATATTTGTTATCCACAAACTGATTTTTGTCAAGTTCTCAGAATTTACCGCTGAAGCTCCTGGACAGAATAGTGTAGTCTCAATTCAGGAAAAAAATGGGGTTTTATTCACCCCATCTCCTCAAGTTATAGCCTCATCCTCCTTGGCAAATATCTGAGAAGTCCTCTACTAGGTTTACCAGGGAAGACCCAATGAAATCTATTTATTTGATTACTTAATAGAGAATTCTTGTTCTGAAACTTTACTGTGTATTGATTTGTTGAAGTATCAATCCATAGCTCTGAGCAGCTTTTTAAAAACACTTTTAAAACATGCATTATAAAAGTCAAAATATGTAATAGTGTCCCTACAACCTGAAATAAAAATTAGCTGAAACCACAGTAATAATTGTAAAAGCCCTATGTTATAGGGGGATCTAGCATCAATCTCTGTACTTAGGGCTTGTCTACATTACCCCTAGATCAACAGGAAACGATCAATCCATTGGGGGTCGATTTATTGCATCTAGTCTAGACGTGATAAATCGACCACCAAGCGCTCTTCCGTCGACTCCGGTACTCCACCAGGGCGAGAGGCGCAGGCGGAGTCAACGGGATAGTGTCAGCCATCGACTTACTGCAGTGAAGACACCACGGTAAGTAGATCGAAGTACGTCAACTTCAGCTACGTTATTCATGTAGCTGAAGTTGCGTAACTTATATCGATTCCCCCCCAGTGTAGACCAGGCCCTAAATTGCTAAATGCTTCTCATTATTAAAAGATTCTTGTGACATTTTCTACTTTTTGAGAAGGTCTAGCATCCAATTTTTATAGCAGGGCTTTGTTCTTCGGCAAGGTAAAGCCATGGGGCCAGGGAGGTGCCTCTGGCTTCATCCCATGAAATTCCATTGAGATTTGGCTGAGTAATTACTGATGAAAATCACCATTTCTTTGCTATGGCATGTGTTGTTATTGCTTAATTTTAACAAAATGTATAAAGCTTTGGGCAGTTGGAAGAACACATCAAAGGGGCCGACTGAAATAATCCCTCGGTTGAATACTAGTCAGTGAGGGAAAACTTATGGTACTTAACAAAATAGAGGACATGCAAAGAGTGTCCCAGAATAGACAGGGATGGCAGAGCCTTGTTTGTGCCCTTAGCGACATCTGGATTCAGATTCAGGTGGATAAAACCCTGAACATTCTCAGACTAGGCCCCCACAGCAGTGACAGAATGCACTGCACTTGGAACCCCTGGGAACAGAGACTCAGCCTGGCTGCTGCCAGAGCAGCTGTCCTGGTGGTGGGGAATGGGTGAGAACTGGGCCAGGTTTCCCCAGACTCCGTGCATGGACCCAGCTACCCATCACTCTTGTGAAGCCATCATCTAGGGTAGGAGCCGATCTCTCAAGGTATAGAGTGCCAGACTGGGCTACCCCTTGCAGCGTCCATCACCCAGCACAGCCCCAACAATCCATCCATCCCATTGGGGGCACCACATATGGCAGGAACCCCTGACTTCCTGGAGCAGGACAGCAACCCCTGGGGTAGAGGTGAGTACAAATACCTGGAAATCAGGACAGCATGAGTTCTAGACTTGAATCTTCTGCTGACTGATGTTAATAAGTCTGTATTATGCATAATGCTTATTATTAACCATGTCTGATAACCAACTGAGAGATTACACTAGCTGGGACTAAAATGCAGATCTCAAACATGACAGACCTGTAGCCCATCCACTAAGCCATACTGCCTCTCAGAAAAAGCCTGCCAAACCTTTATTCTTGGCTGTGTGGTCTGGAAAATGGGGTTACTCATGCATAGGTAATCTACTGATAGAAGTACCATTAACCTCATTTTACAGATGGGGAAAACTGAGCGACTTGCCTGAGGCCACACGGTTGAATCAGTGGCAGAGCCAGGATTAGAACTCGACTTTCTGAATCCCAACTCTACTTATTCTTCCAGATCACAGTGCCTTACTAGCACAGGTGCTGAGTATCTACAATTTCCATTGACTTCAGCTGCAGCTGTGAGTGCTTATCAGCACTTCTTACAATCAGGACAAAAGGGGTTCAGGTTTGGCACCCAGAAAGTGAAGAACACACAAGTAGGGGCCATCTACCAAAACTTTAGTTTAAGTTACTTGGTCAGCAGCATATTGGAAATCTATAGCAGAGGAAGGGATAGAACTGAGTTATCGCATGTGGCATTCAACCCTTACAAGACCATGCTTTTTTCTTCTTGCATACCCTGCCTCATTCTTTACATGCCTCCCAGCTTCTAGAGCAAATGAGGCAAGGGTCCAACAGACACCAGCTTTGATTACTACAGAACTCTGATTCTGTTCCCTGAGCACTGGCCATCCTGTGCGCTGTCCAGGGTCAGATAGAAAAAAAAAATGGTATGGTGATAATTAGACTTATCATAGTGCATGTGCACAGGGGAGCAGAAGTAAGGTTGCACAGGCATCCTTAATTATGGAATTATCTAACTTTCGAGTGTTTTATTTTGCAACTTAAACAACATTCTTTGAATGTGGGCTTTTTGTGTATATGTAATTCTATATAACTCAGATGGATCTGAACACTTCCTTAAAACATAAGCTCCTTAATAGATTGGCTGCTATCCGAGTCCCATTTGGGTATTTTTTATTTGAACTTACTGATTTGATCCTTTGGCAGTAGGGTCAAAAATATCTCCAGATGTTGAGGAAGGAGAGTTGTTAAACATTTTACTCCCCTCCCTAGTACATGAGAAACCAGATAGAACAGAGCAGAAGACTTTATAGGGCGAATGTCCAACATCACTAGTTTGTTTTTCAAGCTTCAGAGCTCTGGCTGGGATTTGTCACAGCTACAAGTGAGACTGGATCTTTTCTTTGCCTAGAGAGGGAAAAGTTCAGACTTCTAGCAGCATAAATATATGACAGCCCAATAGAGCGTGCAAGGATCTGCAACTAGCATGTATCTCGAATTTGTGGATCTTCAGTAATGAGATATGATCGGGGAATTGTGACATGAGTGCAAAATGCATAATATCTCATATCTTGGTAAAATAGGTTTCACTTTACCACTGCCAAAACTTGAATCTTTACTGTCTCTGCATTTCAGTAAACCACCTAATCAAGAATGCTGGAGATTACTGTTGTCCTTACAAGTCCTTATATCTGTGTGGGCCAGCCTTTAAATTAGCTTATAGGAAGTTGATTGTGATTACCCCTGTTGCACTGATTTGAAAAGCTGTCCCATAGTAAGTTTGTTCTAAACTATTTCCCATTTAACCAGTCGGTCCCCAGCCTGTAGCAGTGCATGGGATTCTTCCATCCTAAGTGCAGGACTCTGCACTTTTCCTTGTTGAACCTCATCAGATGTCTTTTGGCCCAATCCTCCAATTTGTCTAGGTCACTCTGGACCCTATCGCTACCCTCCAAGCAAAGGTTCTGACATCTAAAATTTTCAGAAAACAATCAATTGTATTTGTCTCTAGATAAATGGATGATTCCATTGTGTAGCTTCTAAAAGGCTGGTATTAGTCCTCTGGTTTAGTTAAAATTAAGACATTCTACTTCTTGCATTTTTGGCTAGGGCATCAGCAGACATCTGGGAAGTGGCCAATAAGACAATGCCATTGACATCACTGTGAGCGCTCTCCTCCAATACTAGTACTGCTAGCCATATCCATTGGTTATAGGATGCAGGAAGAGGAGACATTAAACAATGAATTACTTACCAATAATCATGTCATCTTTCCTCCCCATCCTAATCCCATTGTCTTCTCCTCTTGTTGTTTGGATTGTCTTGCACTAAAAGAAAGGAGTTATTTGGCCTACATGTTCTTAACTTGAGCAATTCTTTTTTTCTCCTCAAACACCTGCTTTCCTGGTGGGTGGAGACATATCACTTCATGCTGACTGGTTGTGTATGGAGGAAGAAATTACTATAATTAAGAGTAAGCTATTCCTCCTTGCTCTGTCTATCTTGTATGGCTTTATTTGCCTAAGTTGGTTGCTCACAAAACCTTGCTGTATATTGTATCTGAGTCTGAACTTGTGTTTGAACCATTACACCAAAATCCAGGTGCCCTTCAGAGTTTGATTTAATGACTCGTTTACTTTTAGGTGGTGAAAACAGTTGGTCTACGTGAAGTCTGGTTTTTTGGGCTGCAGTATGTGGACAGCAAAGGCTATTCAACTTGGTTGAAGCTGAATAAAAAGGTAAAATATTCTTGATTGTTCGGATGAACTTTCAATTTGAAATAGTTTATATGCAGACTTGCTACTTGTATATATTATATTACAAATTGTAATCTAATTAATGGACAGATTTCTTTAAAGGTTAGTTCAGCTCAACTGTTTATAAACAAGTGGAATCTTACTGCACAATTGTATAGGCATTTTATTTGACTCAGATGGAGATGTGTTTTCCTGTACTTCAGTTACTGTGGTAATTCGTACATTAGAAAAACTATCATATTTCATTATTCTTGATCACAAAATGAACTTTCTCCCTCTGTCCCTTTCATGCAGCAGAATTTATTTTTGGGGAAGAAAAGTTAGGAATAGTTTTTAAAAAGCAATGCAGTATGAATATGGCTATGGAATTTCCCCTTTATATTGCTACCTAGGCCAGGATTTTCAAAAATAGGTGCCATCAGAAGGTGCTATTTCAAACAGAGGCAAACTCCTTTTGGTTTTAATTTTAGCCTAGAATGCCTTTCATTTCATATTTTAGAGAAACTGCCAGCCCTGCATAGTGTAGTGATTCTGTTTTTTAGGAGCAATCCTCAGACGTAGAGCTGGATGGGAACTGATTTGCTCATCTCATGAAAACTTTTGAGATTTCAAAAATGTTCCTAGTTCACATCAGAATGAAATAGACCTTTCCAGTTTCTTTTCTTTTCTTTATTTTTTTTGGGGGGGGGGAGGAGACAGATATCCACCCCAGAATAACTAGTAACGTGGTGGTTAGATGCAGGCCAAGGACTTAGACGTGAATCTCCCACATCCCAAGTGAGTGTAAGGGACTGGGGTGTAGGAGGTCTGGCTGGGCTGGATAGTCCCTGACGTGTGGTGGTCAGTGAGCAGGGGTTGGAAGAATCACTAGAATCAGGTTGAATAAACAGGAGTTAGGGTCAAAGTCAGGACTAGGTTGGAGACTGGAGATCAGAGGTAGTATCAGGCTAGCCTCAGGAGGAAAGAGTCAGGGTCAGAATCGGGCTGGGATCGGAGGCCAGAAATCCGAAGACGAGGTGAGCTCTGTAGTCACAGCAGGCCTGAAGTCTGTGGTGTTGCCTAGACAACTTCCTGGGGCACCCTTTAAGGTTAAATAGAGTGGTTGGCCAATCAGAGGGCTGCAGGGTAATGTCACTCTGGCTCCCTTGGGCAGTACTTCTTGTGGCACTTATTCTCCATGGTGCTCCCTGGCTTTGTTTCTGCATGTCACTGTGGGAATGTTAGCTGTCCCAGGCTCTACAGACCTGGGTTCTAGTGCCCACATCCTTACAGTGAGTGTCCTAACCACCAGCCTATTGGCTATTCTGGGTGACTTTCTCTTCATATCTCCTGTTGGAGCTGTTCCACTTCGTATAAATAAATATTCATTGAGGCAAAATAGACTCAATTGGGGCACTCATCTGCTATGTGGGAGACTCAGGTTCAAGTCCCTCCTCTGGCTATTCTGGGATGGCTTTCTCTTTATGGTTTTGTCCAGAAATTCCCTCCTGAACCTTGAGGGCATCTCTATATTGCAATAAAACACCCATGGCTCCAAGTCTCAGAGCCCGGGTCAATTGACTCAAGCTCATAGGGCACATGCTAGGAACTTGGGTTCTGAGATCCATTCTCCTTGTGGGGTTTCAGAGTCCGGGATCCAGCCTGAGACTGAATGTATACTCTGCAATTTTTAGCCCTGCAGCCTGAGCCCTACAACCCTGAGTTAGTTGACCCAGGGCAGCCATGATCTTTTATTTCAATGTAGATGTTCCCTGAGAAGCCTTTAGTCAGATCTGGTATGTTCCTGTGAAAAGTCATGGGTTTGACAAGGGTGCATTTACCAACAAAAAATTAAGTTGAAAAAAATTCCCAACTAGCTGTAATCAGAGGTTGCCATTTATTCAGCCTTTGCCCCACATAGTGGTAGGCATGATGAACTGAATCTGTTCACCTGGAAGGTTATCTAGGAGATTTCAATCTCCCAGAAGCTCAGTTTCATACAAATAATTGTTTTAAAGCTTACAGTTCTTTTTGGTTAGTTCTGGTAGCTTTCTTCCAATGCTTGAGGAATCTAGGACTTAATGGGTAACTTGACAGCAGTGTTCTATTTTTGTCTCTAGGTAGGAGCTAAGCAAAATATAGTCTTGGGAGGCAACTTACCTTTTGGAATAGGCAATAATTTACTAGAATTTTCCCTTGTCAGTTCACTTGATGAGAAGTAAATACTCTAAGTAACCCATGTCATGGTGGTTCTTTCTGAACTTTCAGTTTATAGTGGACATAACATTTTAAGAATGGAGTACTTTTCAGGTCTGTCTTCATTAGAAGCACTTATCCAATGACTTTTGCTTTGTCTTAAAGGTTGAAGAAGAGAACTGCAGTTGAAGGATGCATTTCTGATACAGTGATGAAATAATTGCCTTTATACGGTCCTTCTATCTCCCTTGATTCTAAGATCACTTTAGAAAGCAAGACCTGTTGAGGCATTTAAGCACTATCAGACTATATAAACAATAATGTTGTGACTCTTCTTGATCATTGTGTTCCCCAGCCCCAGCTGGCTCTGGTTCATCACTAAAATATAAAAATATATTTGAAAATTGCCTCTATCTTTGAATGGACATAATATTATGTTGGAAATTGAAATTAGTTTGTTATATATTAATTAGGCAGATTCTACTGCCCAAGTAATAGAACTAGAACTTGATATTTTTCTTTTATAAAACAGTGTCCATACAGATTCTTCAGGGGGGGAAAAAGAGGTGACTACATATTTCCTTAACTGTTGGGTACTCTTTACTTTTAAGCCAGTTTGCACACACTCTTTTGGGCAACCTCTAGTTTATTGAACTTTAGCTAAGAACTTGTAACAATTGGTCTTTAAAAATATTTACAATAAAATACCCTAGATTTCATTTGTAAATTACTACATATATATTTGAGTTAAATGTGGATGGGGTTGATTGGATGTCAGTGTTAAATCCTGACTTTGTCATGGCAAAAAAATGCAAAAATCATAATTTTAGCTTAAAATAAAATAGTTTTCACCATGACATACTATTTTAATTACGTGCATTTTTCATTTAAAAATGTTAACATCTAGTAAAACACCAAATCAGAGCCAAATATAGATATTAATGAAAGTCTTGCTCGAGAGCAGGCAGGCCAGGATGAAAAAGACCATGAGTGAAATCCTGGCTCTATTTCAATCAATGGCAAAACTTCCACTGAGCACACTCCATAACCTTTATGGACAAAAAACCCTCTCAATCATGGTTTTTGTCACAGAAATCATGGACATAACAAGCATCTGGCCTTAGGCATACATAATGCAGTCATCTTTTGGATCCATAGTTCTCAATAATTTAGATATTTCCTTATTTAAATTTCTCAGAAAAGGACTGTAAACAGTGGGGCCTTTGACAGTGTTTTTTCTGAACATTTCTATTACCGTTTGCTACATCTACAAATTTTACTTAACATTAATTTTAACCTGTTTGTCTCAGCAATGGTTAGTACTGGAATGTAAGTAGAACCAAGGAAAATAAGTAAAATCCATTTATTTGTGTCATATTGGTGATGACAGCAAAATTTTCTGATGCCTTCTCAATCCATCGCTAGCTTCAAGCACTCAGCATCTGACCTCTCAGTGATCTGCTGCATACCATCTATCCATCTTCTCTCTGGTCATCCCCTGCTATGCTGACCTACCACCATTCTTCCATGATAACTTCCTCAGGGTTAATTCCATCTCTACCCCTGATGTGACCAAAGTATGTAAGCTTGCGCCTGTTGATTTCTGAGAGCAGATTCTGCTTCTCTCCAATAATACTTTTAACATAAGCATTCATCGTCTTTTCCATATAGGAGATGCACAAGGGTCTTTGCCAGCACCAGATCTCAAAAGCTTCAGGTTTTTTTTGTCGGTTGCCTTAATTTTCAATGATTCACATCCATAAGTCGTGGAAAAAATTAAGCTTTCACCAATCAACTTTCATACATTTTGAGATGCCACGTTATTTCTTAACTTTTGTAAGGCTGAGCGAACCATTCTTAATCATTTTCCAATTTCTTCAGGCAGCCTCTTTGGTGGGATATGTATGATCCCAGATAACTGAATTCATCTATTGCCTCTATCACTTGATTGTTAATTGTGATGTCCACTTGCATCCTTTTTTTTGTTAATAATGTCAAAATGGATGGATTTACATTTCAACTCATTCAGGGATAGTCCGTGTTCCTCACTAATTATTTTTACAGACTCCCAACTTTTGTTGCATTGCATTGATAGTGTGGCAAAGAGCATCCTGTCATCAGTGTATCTGAGATTAGTTAAGAGGTGTTGACCAGTGGAAATCCCAGCTCCATCCACTTTGTCAAAATCTTCCAGGGCTTGTCTCAGAATAAATTCTGCGTACATGTTGAAGAGGCTGAGGGATGGAATACACTCTTGGCTCACACCCTGCCTGTCACATGACCAGGATGTGGACAGTCATGCCTAGTGGTTAGATCAGGAGTCGGCAGCCAGGAATTGGAGCCCACGGTTAAAGCAGGAGCTGGAGCCAAGGGGTCAGAACTGGGAGTGGGATTCCGGATGTCAGAAGTGAGGAATTGGAACTGAGGATCAGAATTGAGTTACCTGGAGTGAGGCAAGGCAGGGGGAAGGCTGGGGTTGAGCCCAAGGTGGGAGCAAGGCTGGGAACAAGCGGGCACAAGTGCTATCATAACCACTGATGAATCTTTGAGGAGCCACCGAACTACTGTGGCTGTTGGGCTTGGAGCTGGTCTGCTGCCTCCTCAAACCAATCAGGTGGTGTAGCCACTCAGGCAGCCTACTACAGGCTAGTTGGTCTCATTAGGTTGCCTGGATACTGGCTCTGCTGCAGCCTCTGATTCCTGACACGGCCCAGTGGAAAACCACTAGTTGTTCCCTGCTGCTGTTTTCACCGTGATCTATTGTTGATGGTACAGATTTGCGATGAGTTCAATGAGGTGCTGTGGAA